ACTGATCTTTTAATAAACATAACCACAGTTTTATACATTGCAAAGTAGTGACCCAGCTGTTCCACTGTGACCAGGCTTCAGCAAAATGTTTTTCATGGTTCAACTGGTTGGCTTTGGTGTTTAGTGAAGGCAAATTTCAAATAAGATCTAAAATGTAGCTTAGTATGAAATATGGATGTCTGTTGCTGTGCTGTTGAGTACATGCATGATCTGTTAATTATTAGGTAAATGTGAGAGGTTTTGCAGAACTAGAAACTTGGATATAGAAAGGAAGAGCTAGAAGCAACAAACATTTTCTTTCTCTTAAAATTGTGTTGATTACCTTTGTTGTCAGAAAAGTATATTTTTGTTGCTACGAAGTTTCATTTTGTTGCTATCCCTTATCTGAAAGGGATAAGAGCCTGGCTTTGCTAGGATTCTGTGTCAAGGCTCTCTTCTGAATGGTGCGGCTGGTTCATAATATTTGACGTAGCAGAGAACCTGGAGAACGTAGGGTCAAGAAGAAAATGTCCCCTGAATAAACATGTCCAATACCTCACACTTGCTTTTTTGCTTTAAAGAGGCTGAGCCTCTTTTAGGAAAAGGGGAAATAGCATCACCGTGCAACTCTTCTCTGTTACAGCAGCAGTGCCACTCATTTAATACTGTGATTTATAACAGTGTTGTAATCTAAATAGGAAGCAGGTGGAGTTACAACTGGGTACAATACTTTGGATATTAATGGCTTGGCTTGGCAGTGGAATTCTAAAGCTGTATATACTTCTTCTGTCTTAATTATGCATTCATTAAAAGCTTTTATACCCAACAGAATAAAGTAAATATTGTTTGATCTCTGTAGTGTGCTCCCAGACTGTAGATTTGCACAGCAGGGTCTTGATAATCTGAATAAATTGTATTTCCCCAAGGAGTTTATCTTTCAAATAAGGTCATAAAGAAATGTATTCTTTTCCCTTAGTTCTCCTTGTGCTTTTTCTGCTATTTATAACACGGAACAGAGGAATAGAGGTATATTGTAGTCTGCTCTGCGCTTGGTTATGATTAACTCTAATTTATCAATCTGTTACTTACATCCTTTTCTGTGGCTTGTGCAAGGCAATTATTCTTTAGAGTACAGACGAATAAAGATGGATTTGGAAGTAATTTAAATACAGTGTTTATATCTATTATTCTTGTTTGACAATTTATCATATCTCTTTATTAAAATACACCTCTGTATTAAAACATGGACAATGTAACATCATTTATTTTGAATATTTAATATTGCCATCTTTCAGATTATGTTTGTTCAGAAAACTGATCATCTTTTACGAGGGTTTTGGGTCAGCTCATTGTTAAATTGGTTTGTCATCCAAAGGTTGATGCTATGGACTCAGAAGGCCAGTAGTGTAGAAGAACAGATTCTCTTACTTCAGACAGGGGGAATGGATAGCAAGTAGAATGCATAGGTTCAGAAATAGTTTCTCATTTTAGAAGAAAGCACTACTAAATAATTAGGCCAATTTAGTAAATTGGTTTGAGATTTCAGAACTGTTTCCACTGTTAGCTGTAAGATGTGTGTCTCTAGTCGTACACACATTTTCTTAGTCTGAATGTGTTTCAGTAGAGTAAGATACATCATATTAGAAGAGATAGGATCGCTGCCTTTCCCTAATTCTCTGCAGCTCTTAGTGACAGTTCTGCTTGTGTTCATATTTCATCCTTCAATGCAAAACAGATAAGTGGCATATATTTAGAAGTTTATAAAAACAAGATTAAAAGTTTCAATAATTTACATATGCCTGTTTTCTATTGCATGTTTTCAAAGAACCTATACTGCAATACAGTACCTAAAGAAAGCTCCACATGACTTTTAAATTTTGTAGCTCCTCTTTTAACAATAGAATATAATTTGTTATATTGTTATATAGTTATCATTGAATAATAATAATAATTATATAACTGACAGCAATATAATAAAATTTGTGGAAAACAGAGACTGCCAGTACTTTCTCATGACCACATCTAAATTTAATTTTACAGTAACCTACTTAATTTTTTAGCAAAGTTTTGAATTAATTTAAGAGTTTAGTTCGGAAGTCAGACTGAGTTGAGAGTGATTGCTTTGATACTTCCTGCTGGATTTTTTTAAAGTTAGAAGGTAAGGCACCTTTTATGTTTTTTCCCCAACTAAAAGACCTACCATATGTGAAGAGCTGGGTTATGTGATCTGTGGTATACATCTTGCAATCTCGGTATAACATTTTTTGCCTTTTAGTATCATGATAGGTATAGTAATGTACAGTACTGTATAATTTTTATTTGAATATTGCTATGACAGTCTGATAATTTTCATTTGTAAAAGCTATCACAGTACTTGCTTCTTTGTCTGTGAAATAGAAACCTTTAGATCAACTCTAATCTTACAAAACCAGAAATTAATATTTCTGGTTATAAGCGAAGACTAGTTTCAACAAAATACACTTGTGATATTCATCAAGCAGTAAAGGATATGTCTGGCAGGTCACTAACACATAATATTAGGTGAAGCATGAGAAATCCTCTGAAGCTCACCAATAAAAATAAGTAAATAAGCCCCCCTAGTAAATAAATAAACAGACACATAAATAAGCAAGCATCTGAAATAAGTGAACACATAAAAATAAATAATATTGTAAATAAACAACTACTGAGTGTTAATTTATCCATCCATAAGTATATCGGGCCTCTTTGTATGACGGCTTTCATAAAAAATGGCAATTGGTGTTGATTTGAGGGGATAGGGAAGTTTGGAGATCATCAAAAATACCCAAGCCAAAAATGAAGGCTTACTAGTGTCTTCCAGGTTTCATTGATAACATGAAGATTTTTCAGGGGACAATTGCTTTTGTGTGTCATATTGCTGTTTCTTGCCAAGGAGGAAAAGTTTAATTTATGTTATCTCCAATATTGTCCTCTTCTGAAGTCCACCAAAAACTGTCTGTCCTTCTCCATTGACACTTCTTGTGTTTTGTTCAGGCCATATCTTGGTTAGGCTGTTGATCACAATGCCTTGATTAATTATTTTAATCATCCCCAGATATAGCTGTTGACTACAAAAGAGCTCAATAAGTATCTACTGAGTTCTTCTAAATTTATTTCTGGGTATTTGGCACTCATTCAGCCAGGCAGTTCTTTGAAAAGATAGTCCTCCAAACCAGGAAAAATAGACCATGGTTGTTGCTTGTCAGATGCTGTGATGTTTACTTTGATTATACTCCTGTGCGTTGTTGCCACCCTTGCACGGTCATCACAGAAGTGGTGGTGTGAGGTACCATCTGTGATCTGCAGATATTTAATCACAGAGCAAGCACACAGACCAGAGACTTCTCATGTAAAATTCATTCCTTTCTCTTTCTTTCTGCAACTAGGGAGGATTTATCCTTGCCTCCTCTATGCTAGTGTGAAGAGAAGCTGCCACTAGAATATCTGTCGTTCTTGGGATGATGGCTGTTACTGCTTGTTCTGACAATGTAAAGAACTTATCTCTGTTCTTCCAAGAAAATGATGTGAAACTCCAGTATGGCAGTTTAAGTAGATAATGAACAGGATTTACCTTTAACTTATAACTCTGCCGGAGAAGGTGTGTTGTTCAGGCTAGGAGGTGATGTAACAGGCAGGAGCCTCCACAGGAATTTCCTTTGGTTTCCTCTGGTATTGACTCCTCTAAGCAGGTGAAAAAAAATCCTTTCTCCACTCTCCATTGCATATGCATAAACAGCTCCCCAGTCACTGGGACAGCCACTCGATTCACACGTTCAAGATGTAGTCCAGAAAACATTCCAACCCCCCCCCCCCTTCGCACTTCCCATCTTCCCTGTTGCTCCGTCGGCTCTGCCAGCCGCAGCTCATTTGACATTTACAAGATTTTGTGTCAGCTTCATTTGGTGCCGCCACTCCACTCCAGCCGGCAGGGCAGGGAAGTTAAATTCACTTCATTTAGTCTGGTTCTCCTTCCTGCTCCGGGCCCTCTGGTAACTAACCGGCAAAGTGAGACTGACAAGGCTTCTCGTCATTTCCACCCGCCGGGCTGGTCAGGGAGGAGGCGGCTGCTGGGGAGCAAGGTGGTGAATTGGAAGGGGAGAACCAGGACTACAGAGGGGAAAGGAGGAGAAGGGTGAGCTAACAGCAAACCTGGTGAAGAGGGTGGAATGGCCTCGTCTCCCAGACGCCCTCAGTACTTTTCTCTGATGGGGAGGAGTCCTTGGCCTCTCCCCTGAAGGGAGTGGCATCATCTAGAGTAGCAGTAGTTTGCTGTCCAGAGGATAATTTACAGGGGATGCCAAGCTGAAGACAGCCCATAAATATAGATTATCTGTTACCAGGATGGAAAAAACTTCCTGCCCTGAGTTACTGTAGCTCTTGTCTCTGCCAATTTTCTGCTCCTAGAAGGAGGGGAAAAGAATAGGAGGCCAGCATTCATTACAGGCTATCATTGTTTGGAAAAAAAGGGTTTGTTTGTTCATTGGAGGTAAATTTATATGTAATAAAATGTAGCTGAGCATCTTGTATTTTGTGAGGTTTCGTGGAACTTAAAGTTGTGCTACACAGGTCCTCTAGCTCAGTCAAAATGGTAAGTAATGAACAAACAGGTGTGCTGTAACCAGCCGCTGCAGTTAACAAATACATGGTTTTTTAATCCACTTGTTAACTGCTGCCAGCTCTTGTCATACAGTGTAAATTGTGCTGGTTTATTGTATTATGTACTAATCCATATTTCTTTCAGATGCTTTAGGAAAGTATACGTAACCTTAGCAGTTGCAATATAAACTAGTATTATCATCTATATATATATATTTGCATATGGACTGGTAACATTTACACATACATTTTAATGAGGCTGTATTAATAAATTTCAAGTTATATTGCCTTCCTTCTCTCAGAAGAACAACTGTTTTTTTCATTATCTGAGACCTGTGGGGTTTTCTGTTCTCTGTTTTGGGTTTTATTTTCTGAGACACATTTTGTTTGCTTCACCCATTTAGGAATTAAATAGTTTTAATTACTTGGACCTTTATAAGCTTGCGGACCTCTTCAACCTCACTTTGTTGGAGAATGCAGTGATTGACTTCTTAGTAAAGCATCTCTCTGAGCTACTGAAGAGTCATCCTGAAGAAGTTCTGGCACTTCCATACTGTCTTCTTCGAGAGGTTTTTAAAAGTGATAGACTCACTTCGCTCAGTGAGGAACAAATCTGGCAGGTAAGGAGACTGGTGAACAAGCAGAATGTGTGATACTCTAAACCATAGCAGTAATCTGTTGTTTTGAAACCCTGGAGCAGTCTTGAGGGAGAATAAGCACTTGAACAAAAACTGTGAATAACGACTGAGGGAAGTTATTAAATTAAATTTTAAAAAAAAAAAAAGTGTTGTGTCAATACAAATAGTTTGTTTGAAAAATAGATTTGTCTTGCTGCTTAACTTGTATTACTCAGGTATGGCCAGAAATTTTCTTCCAAACCCAACTTTGTTGCTGGGAAGAGATGGCTGACGTGTGTAACTCAATTACCATTGCCTGTGGTGAGGCTAGTGAAACAAGTCTGGTGGCAAACCTGCTTCTGCAGTCTCTCCCATTCACTTCAGACAAACTTAGCTGTGCAACTTCAATAGTTATTTAAATTGTTTAGTCCACCGCAGCTGACTTTGCCTGAAGCAGATTAGAGAATCATCACACAGGCTGCTCTGCTCAGAGATGAGTGGAGGCTTCAGGGGAAGGTTTGCAGCAGGAAGCTGGAGGTGGCAATCATTTCCTTTAAAAAAAACTGCATGTAGAAAAGGGCCAGGTTGCTAGCCACAGAATATTAATAAGCTAAAAGCATTATGTTGTGACCTTCAGTGTGTGTGTGTGTGAAACCTAATGTGAAAAAAACCCCACATAATCTGTAAAGAGAAACACAAAAATTAACTCAAAATATATCCTTGGAAACATTCCCATTATATGTCTATAAAGACTGCATTTCATGAGATAGTGGAAGAAAATCTCTCTAATGTTGGTTACCCAAACATGGTTTCCTATTTGCTCTTACGTTTTATAGAATAAAGTATTTAATGGTATTTCAAGGTAGAATGTAACTTGCTTGAAAGAAACCTGTGCTTTTTCTTTGGGAAGCAGATTATTTTGGTCCAACAGAGAAGACTGAGAGTCAGAAGACTGATTTCAGTCAGTCACTGATTATTGATCAATCACTGTTATACATCTACTTATCTTTTGGATTATTCTAAGCAAATAATTTCATTTATATACCATCATTTTCTCAAAGTGTATGGTGTGTGTTCATCTGTGGAGTGTTTCTTGTTCTATGGATGAATGGCATGCAGGAAAAATTTTTTTTTTTCTTAAAACGTAAAAATGTCTAGTTACGCTCTTCAAAACACAAAGTCAGTATGCAGGTGTAACTTAACCCTTCACTCTGGTAACTGCGTATTTGTTTCTAAAATTTCAAGGCTTTAGATTATGGAGTATTTTTCAAAGATGTTATCAGTACTTGCAGAAAATATCAAGTTAGAGTCTTTCCTGTCCTTTCTCTGTAGGATGTCTGTGCAACAGAATCTGTGGCACACTACCAGTGATGGTGGCTTTGGTTTGGGTTTTTTAGGCTTGATGCTCTGGAGGCCTAGCCCACATTCCCTTTATCAGAAAAAGTTTTGATCAAGTTCATGTATGAGCCTTGATGTTCGAGTTCATGTATGAGCCATGGCTGACTGGCCAGTTGGGTTTGATCGTAATTTCTCTGCAGGGTCAGTGTAATCTCCTAGCTACGTGCCTGGGCATACTTTTGCTGGAAAAGTTGCTACAGAAAGCCATACGTGTCTAACTTAATGCCAGCTCAGTCATGAGCAAGTGTATCCAGACTAATACCCTCTGCAACCTGCTGAAATAACTTTTGGGAAGTGATTTTTTTTTTTTTTAAAATCTCATGTCATCGTCCTGTCCTGCAGGAAGAACTCAAAAATAATTTTTCTGATTGTGTGCACTCCAGTCAATGAACACTTCATGAGGCAAATATGATAAAGCTTCTGTTTCTGTTGCAAGGTCATACTGGGGAGAGATACTTCTAGGTAATATGCTGCTTTCTGAGTGACAACAAACTCCACACTGTCCATTTAAGTGTTATCATAATTGCCTCTCTAAAGGTTACTAATGCTGTTCCGAAGAATTTTCTTAAACTAGTTTTATGCTGCAGGCAAAACGTGCGTGTGTCTTTTTAATTCAGTCTGTACAACCAGGAATAAATATCTATCTATAAATATTCCAGATCCCCAGAATGAATTAAGACACACATAAATATTTACCAATTTAGGCATTCAGAAGGCAATAAAAAAACTGGTTTTTTGCTTTATCTTAGTAAATAAGTAATTCCCCCATAGTCAACCCAATAGAAGAAAATCAAATCAGACCAGCTATATTGCCTCAAGTGTAGTTAAGTTCATCATTTTTGCTAAGGTTATAGTGGTAATGCAATATACCATGGAAGAATCTAATATTCAGCCCAGGGTGAAGATTGGGTATGCCAGAGGATTAGTGTCAGGGTGCTTTATAGAAGTGAAACTTGATGGACAGGTTGGAGACAGATCTACAGAATCTCATTAAATTGCTGAATTGTTCATTACTGAGCACTCTCACTGTAATAAAGTGCTCATTGACTTTGACAAATCCCCATCCCATGTCTTAAGGAAGAACAGCAAAGCGAGAGGTGTTGGGGAAGCTGGAGGAAATTGGCACAAAGTGGGGCAGATAATAGGAAAGCTGATGGGGGATGCTACAGTTTTGATTTGTCCGTCCCACCTGTGGCTAGCGTGGCCTCCTGCGCCCACACAC